AGCTTCTTTAGGTGGACACCAGCCACCTTTCAGCCAGCGTCGACCCATGGATTGCCTGGTATCGTTTACTCACCTTGCTTGCCACAAGTGTCATGACGACGGATTGGGCGATCGGCTACGTTGACGGAGGCGATGCTAGTTCTGGCAAGGCGTCAAGCAGAGAGATAGTCAGTGCCTCTCCATCGCCTCGGACAGTCTATTTGCAGCACAGACCCGCGCCATCACGAGCTCCGCTGTGGGAGCGGCACGCAAGGCTCACGGGGGCAGGGATTGGGCTGTCAATCAGCTGGGTCACTAGAAGAAGTGATTCATGCCGAGTTGGCCAACCACCGCCGCCAGAGCTTCGTCTGTGAATCTCTCAGGTTCAACAGCCTTGCTGGATCGACGACTAGCGTACGGAGGGGCAGGGCACAGGCATCGAGCGGTGTTCACCTCGTCTTGCCATTTGAAATGTCGGGACCTCACGAAGCAGGAGTGTCCCGGCGGGAAAAGTCGGTGTCTGCTGTCTGAACCCAAGAACCCGAACACGTTGGTTTCGCAGCAAGGAAGAAGCCAATGCCAGATTCCTGGGGGAAAGGACACCCTTGACAGCGCCTAACCACCGCTGCGCCCCGCTATCTTCAACAACCACACTCCACGTAATGTCGATGGCGGAGACAGTCAACAGACAGACACAGCCCGCGGTGACATATTCTCATGGCTCCAGAACAGGCTTTTTCTTTTTGGTTGTCCTCTTCCTCTCAGCTGGTTCGGGTCTTGGAGGGGCCTCAGTTTGCTTCTTCCCAGGTTCTTGTCACGTCTGGGTCAGAGAATGCCACCAGGAGTACCTGTTAGCCGCCAGCCATGTCTAAGTCACCTCTAGCTCGTCAATGAAGGTGGTGCCCGAGGAACTAGCTGCTCATTAGCTCCCAAAGCACCCAAACTTGCTTCGGAAGCTACCTCACCGCGTTGCTCCCAACATCGCATCCAGCCCCGACATGATCTTAAGGACATGTGCACGAAAACTTTTCGGATAATGGCCGAGAGTCTGCCCACCAGTCGCTGCTGCTCGACATGATGCTGTCTGGCCCATCCAAATCACGCAGCATCATGCGGCAGATCTCCCGCAGTCTACAGGATCTAATCTCGATCACCGACACTCGGGGGTCCACTGCCATCTGGCTCACTTCTCCGCCCCCAGGAACAGGTATTCACCTGGCTGGTGCCCAACGACTGGCCATATCAACAGTTACAATCAGGGCGGTGGGAGTTCACATGCATGGCTACCTTATTTTACGTACTTGAGTGCGGCGTTTGCAAGCTTGCGTGTGTCACGTCGCTAGGAGACAGCTACTCGAGCTGACCAACTGAAACGGACGATCGACTGGCTTGCAGCGGCCGCCAAACGGCGGCTGACTAGCACGAGCACCTCACCACCAAACGCACCCTCCTCTCCATACAACTGGAATTCCAGATGCCCATCTGTTGACCGCACATGTGGAACCGAACTTAATCAGGCGTCAGCGACGCGTCCCCGGACTGGCCCAGAACGAGGTACGGTTGCAAGCAACCTTCCGTCTGAAATATGTGCATGATGATGGATCTGCCGGGCTCTAAGCATGGAAGTCGGATGGCGCATCGCTTGCGCCTCGCGAGCCAACTGAGATGCGAGAAGGTCAGCATGGTGTCACAAGCCCGTATGCACCCCTTTCCCCGAACGCTCCTCGTTCCACCAACCCTGCAGCTTTCTATTCAAACACACCGAGACTGTGCGACCGTCTGCTGCTTCTTTCGACGGAGTCCGCAGCAGTCGATGCGGTGATGGCCCGTCAGCTTGTCTTCCTACGAGAACGGCACAGCGAATGACCCAAGAATCTGATTCGACCAGAGACAGCGGGTTCAGAAAGAGACAGCCTTCTCGGGTGACACAAAAGCTGTAGTTCGGAGGTTATCAAGTGCGACTTGTCAGATCTCAAACCTGGTCTCTGCTTACGAGACTCCCTTATCATGGCCGTATCGAGTAATCATCAACTTCCGAGGCCGCCGAGAACCCCCGGCGGGGTGCAGCAACCAACTTCAACGCAAAGTCGGTTTTCTCTATCCAATCTGATGGTGGCGCATTCCTGCCCTGAATCAGCTCAGTCATCCATCCACTTGACCTGGCAGGTGATCCATCGCCGCGACGCCTTGACGACATTGCCTACCCCTGATTTGTGGGTTACACCATCTAATCGCCAATGTCTCTCTCTTCCTCTTCGTATTGGTGTCCTCATGTGAAGCTATCGAACTCTGTACCAAATGTTGCCTCGCGAATCCAGGCTGCGACCGCGTCCGTCACGCACCTCGTTTCCGTCTGTAAGACTCGACACCATCAGGCCCGTCACCAAAAGCCCGGCAACGAGGCAGCTCTAAGGCAACGAGTTACTGCAGCCCTGAGACGCCGTGCACGACAGATACCACGTCTTGTACTCCGTCGTCCCCGGCCGGCTGTGCCAGGTCATTGCGACATACTTTGTGGGTGGCGTTGGAAGGCTTGCTCTGCAGAGAAGGCTAGTTGGCCGACTTCATCTCCCGGGCGGGCATCATACATCGGACGCCGATTCCGTGATACTCCGGACCGCCGTCATGAGGCATCGACGGACGAACTTTTGCCTTGTTCCTTTCCCCCCCTTCGCTCTTCTTCCTTCCCAGGCTACATACACAGTGGCGTACGACCCCAGACCCTGCCGGGCGGCGCAAACGCATGCCCCCTGCGTCCTTGTTTCTCTGACGCAACTAATCATTTCTTATTCCAGTTTCTTCTCGTCCAGCTTTGACGGTCTCAGCATCATGCGCCGTAAACCAAATTGAACTGCTTCTTTTTTTTTTTCGACGTCTTCCGCCCCGCGGGCCTACTTGCCTTTGCGAAAGCACGGCCGGGGTAGGCATTCATGGAGATCCTGGGGGAGGAGATGACGGGGAAGTGGCGTCGACGTGCAGAAGCTTCATGTCGCCAGCCGTCTTGTCGCGACCTCGCGAGGAGCTGACTTGTGTGTGCCTGCCTCACCGGTTTTCCAGGTCGGGGGAGGCTTGCATCTGAAGGCGCCAGTGAGGCGCTGGGAGCTGGTATGCAGTGTCTCGGATTTATGGCTGGGACTTCTTTTGCTGGAAGAATGCAGCGAGACCAGACCAGACCGGCCGGCCTGGACCCCACACCCAAGAGGATGAATAGCGCCGTTTCTTGTGAGGTTTGGTCCTGCGGGGTCAATGGTATCATGAGGCGGGGGGCGATGCCGAAGCAGCAGCAGAACAAGTTCACCTCAGCCTTTCTGGCGTGATATCTTTGACACTTGCGACGGGGCTGAGGTCTTTAGTTTCGAGATGTGTTCTAGACTTGATCTGGGAGGTGTTCGTCGACGTCCTTGGGAATCCCTGGTTCATGGCCGCGAAAAATCAAATGCCTTCCATCGTCACTGGGCCTTGGCAGTTCGTCCGTCCGCGCAGCCCGGGGAGATGGACGGAAGGGATGGAGAGGATCTCCCAGCTCAGCCTTTGCGGGAAGGAACAGACGGCGTTTAGGCTTTTGGTGGGCTGGATGGGGATGGATGGGGATGGATGGGGGGAGACTGAGAAAGAGAGGCTTAGGCTGCGGTCTGAGCTTCTTTTCCCTTACAGAAACGGGCTGTTTTGCGGCGTCCAGTCTGCCGGGTTGATCCTCTTGTCGAAACGAACGAACGGTGGCGTGAGCTGAACCGAGCTTCTTTCCCTCTGGGCTGGGCGCCGTTTTGCTTTTCCTTCTTTTTACAAATTGTTTGCCGTCCGGGGTGATGGCTGCTTGCTTTTGCAGTCCGTCCAGGCTTTCTTGCTTTTGGGTCCTGTTTCTGGGACTGCAGCAGCTTCTTCCCATGTCTTCAGGGCCGCAGCATCTCGTCAGGGTAGGGAAGTTTAAGTCCGTGAGGTCAGTCATGATGTGCTTCGGCTGTAGCCGCATGCTGCATGCCTCCGCACCACCATCTTGTTTTCCTTTTTGCCTTCCGACACCAGTTGTGTTGGGAGGAAGTTTGGGTTCAGCTGATGTTATCGGCCGGCGTATGCTAGTCATCGCGACGGACAGACGTCATTGCTTTTTTGGAATTGAGGGAAGGAACGGGAGGCAAGGTGATGCCTGGGAAAGCGCCGGCTTCGGGGAGTCGTCGGGGAGCAGTCGGGGTTTTCGGGTGGAATGGGGGGTGTAGGATGTCAGCAGCGATGGAGGGGACCGGCGGCAGACTAGGCAAGTGCGCTCGGTTTTGGGCTGTTTGACGGCGGCCGACGGGATGGAGGGCACGGTTGTGAGAGACGCCTTGGGGGGATTTTGGCGTTGGACACGTGTGGGATGTCTGTGCGATGATGGACGATCTGGATTGTGGCAACTGGAGGTTGTGTTGGACAGGTGGCATGTGAAGAAGAAGAAGCATTGTTTGATAAGGCTTTGGGGATGTTTACTCCAGGGTTGAATAGATGGAAAGTTCTGTGTGATGATATCTAAAGAGCATTGACACAGACACTGTCAATCAGCCTTGAGGTTCTGTCAAGGGACCTTGAAGTGTTCATTGGAGTCCGTGCCAGAATCAAAAGACATCTAATTAGCAGTGTCAGTCAGTCATCCGGACAGTGTTATTCCTCTATAGTTTCAAGTAGAATACACGTCATGCTTGGATCAGGACGATAGCAATAGAAAACATAAAAGGGGCAGTTAAAGTAATGATGACGATGGATATCAATCATAGACGACGACGATAGACGACGACGATAGACGACGACAATATATAGTAATTAATAGTAACTACGGCGTGTGTGGGGGACTGCTTGGCTAGCAAAACTCACATTGCGTATCACGGTACGAATAACCTTGACATTATCCATGAACATTGGTAGCTTGTGGAAGCTAAGGTAGGAATGTGAATAATGGTTCTTTGAGTTTTTTGTTAGATATTTGGGAGTCCAGGACGTTATTGTGTTTATAATTGTGTACGCAGTAACTTGAGAAAAGATTGGTGTCATTAGAAGAACAGTACCGTCTTACCCTCCTTCTTCATAAAGTCTGCAAAACAAAGTGGGCTTGCCATATCAGGGTCCTTTTGCTCCCAGATAATCTCCAATAGTCGCTGAGTGTCTCGAACGCTTTGCGTTGCATACATCAACGACAGCTCCTCTAGCCGTCTGCTGATGAAATTCCTATGCTCTGTAGATTTGGCACATGATCCAAAGATGGCCAGTGGCCAGCACATACTGGTCGAGATGGGAGAGTCAGTGGGGACCATCTTCAGAAAATGGATAAAATCGTCCAGAGTCTTCTCCGTCAAGCTCAAATCAGACCCCTGACTTGCCAGACAGCCTGTATCACTGTCCAGGGCAGACTCCAAGTACACCAGCAAGGTCTGTTGATACAGTTGTCCACATAACCTGTAAACCTCGTCATTCGAGCGAGGCTGCCACAACAGTATGATTGAACGTAGCCTCCAGCACTCGATCACGGCTTCACCCAAACCTATCCCTCGCCGAAGTTCGTCTCGTGTTCTTCGAGCAACCACTGACACCGTAGGAACGAGGCCAAAAAGTTCGTGCACACAGCCAGACGTAAAATGACTTTCTGGCTCGGCTCTGGACGTAGGGAAAAGGTGCGCAATGTCTTCCTGCACCCACAGGTCTGATTCCTGTCCCATACTGATGTGGGCAAGAGTCATGATGTAGGCGTATCTTTCTTTGAGGAAGGCTCGAGTATCAGGCCCGAGCTGAGAGTTGAATAGGCTTGATGCCTCATGAAGAAGTACGCGAACGGCTTTCAGATGAGACAAGGCTTGAGCTCCTGCGTTGAGTCTGAATGTCTGAAAGAGGGTCAGTTTACGTTTTGTATAAAGCTAATCTCTTGTTGGTATGGATGAAGGAAATCATAGAGGACGATGGTCACAGAGACCGACGGTCAAATGAGGTTGAAGAATGCTCGAACATACCTCGGTAGCACATAGAATGATGGCGGTCACCAACAGCGGCACAAGAGGCTCTTTGTCCCCCTGAGCCATCAAAGTCAGCCCAAATTTCTGGCCCTGAATCGCCTGGCCGTAATGTACCCATGTCAATTGGTCAACTGGAAGTCCAGCGAGATCTGCTTGGTGAACACCACTCAGTGCCAGCAAGGCATGCAGAATTAGATCGTTCGACATGGCCATGGGGACGAGCTCTGCCAGAAATGGGTTCCTGTTGCCTTGGCAAACGGCCATGACTTTGTTCGTGCGGTGGGCATAGTGATGAAAAAGATTGCGAGACTCCTGGGATCTCATAGGTCCCCTTGCTGAGAGGAGGTCAAGATCAATCGATCTTCGGAGGGTGCCAAGAGTTCCGTCAAGAGACCTTTCATGGTTCCCTTCATCCCGCTTGGGGCCGGCGGAGGCGAGGAGGTTTGGCCCTTCGGTCCGCGAACCTGCTATCGCACGGTTTGATCTGGATGGCCTCGAGCGCCGACGTGTGGGATTCGTTCTCCGCAAGAGCTGGGCGTGCTCCTCGTTGCCAGCTTCAGGCCATGTGCACAAGATGGCATTGCGCAAGCAGTTGGAGCAGTGAGGCTTCTCTTCGCTGCACTTCTTACGACGTAACCTACAGCCGATACAGCCGGTTGCTGATCGCCTGCCCTTTGAACCCGGCGTCGATTGTTGTAGCATTGCAGATTTGGTCGGTTGATTGTAGTCACCGCCGTCAAATGGTGTTATCGTTGAGTTTCTGGGGAACATGTGGGGTGCATATCACAGAGGTTATCGCCGGCTTCCCGGTAATCTTCGGGCGATAACGAATGAGCATGTTCGGGGTTGGCGTTGACCGGGCCCACAGAGATAAGAGGCTTCTTGGAGATTGGTATCAAGCCAAACCCCGGTATCTCCAGCTTTCTTACAAAATGGATGGTAAGGTTTGATACACAGGTGGTTTAATTTGCTACTACTCTGGACTTGGTTCCTCGTGACAAACGAAACTCTTGATCTTGATACAATACTCTGACCAGAAAAAAACATCTGGCACTTTGATACACAGAGACCAAGTGACATGATCACCCCTCCCTTTTCAATTTCGTAACTCGGTGTGCCGTGTCCAAATTCCACCCATATTCATGAACCGCAGGATTACTGACCCACTTGCACTTGAAAGCCTGCTAGAACGGGAACTTGCTCGGCAGTTGTCCGTCTTCACACATTCCGCTTTTAACTTGCTTCTTATGGAGATCATCTAGGTATGGTAGAAGGACATCGGCATAAAAGTGGCGACCCTTGTGGCTGCATGATGAGCATCACAGGTCAGCTGTCAGTTAGCAAGTGATATGGAGGATGGTGTACTTACAGGGCCAGTTCATCATCCCAGCTACGGACGAAAGACGCCAAACGCCCCGGAACACCTGGCTCCTGGACGACTTCGACAAGAGGCTCAATGTACGTGTGAACCATCCACACAACTGCACCAGACCGTGGGAGCCGTCGCAAAGTTTGACGCTCCTGGCGGAACCACAACTGGGAAATGTTCTTGACTGGACTCGGCGGATTCCACTTGCCGTAGCTGGAAGTGCTGATTCCGGGACCGCAGAGTTCTGGATCCCAGTCGTCCTCCGGTCCCATAGTTAGAGCAGGCCAGTGATATTCGTCTGTTGAGAATTAGAGACGGCAAGTAAGCACATTGTCAAAGCAGCAGAAGTAGATGCAGAGTTGGGAGCAGACTCACCATGTATCGCGATAGAAGTGGCTGGTGCAAGTCAGTACCTATGTAACACAAATCAGAAGGGGTGATCTTACTGTTCCGTTGGATTGGACTCTCAAACTTGAGCTTGGAGAGGAAACTAAACGAATCTGTGAGATTTTGCGATGTGTAAGCTGCCGTGAAAGGACTTACTGATCAAGTGGCCGCTGGAGCTGCTCCTTGTAATGCGGGACATGGCCCGAGAAGTAAAGATCTGCTAGGGTTTTGCCAACTTGCATGATGTCAGCAAAGTCTGATTGAGGGTCATGACTTCAAAGAGTCTTACTCTTGTCCTTGATTCTCTGCCTCCCTTTTCGAAATACTTATTAGCCACAGCCTTGAGATGGCATCAAGGTGGTGACTAACCTCCGATCCCAAGCATCATGGCAGCAAGCTGATAATAGCCATCGGTACCCTTGACCAGGATGTTGATGTCGGCTGGTTGGATGAGGCCAGCAACCTGGTGTTGTTAGTTAGCTCGCGAGCGCTATGGCATAGGACAAGGGGCAATGTACTGTCAAAGGGTCATGTTTGCTCAAGTCGTAGGCGGCCCTCATAGCTGGCATCTCAATTTTGGTGATGAAACCCAGTCCATACCAGCCTTGCGTATTATCTTCAGCGCGCGTAATTCGGTACACTGAGGAATACCGTCGAGAGAGAAACTCAGCCGGATCTTGGCAAAGCTCCCATGCTGCATCGCGTGCGACAGGCATGGTTTGAACGATTTTGTCTCCACGATCCGCCAGACGACGGACCTTTATTTGGAAGTACCGTGGCCATTCATTGTCCAGCTAAGAAAGAGAGGTTAATGAGTATCGTGTTCAACCAATCCACCGGAGGCACTTACAAGAACCCAAGAATCTTTGTCCAGTTTTCGAACATCCACTGCACTGGAGGAGGTGATCAATGAGCCTTGTATTATATCACATAGAGGCATAACTTTATACAACGTACTGTTGCAAGTAGGAGTGACGGAACGCCCGGAACTTTGGTGGCATGGTCGTTGCCATGTCAAATGCGTGGTCGGGGGATGGTTCTGCATACACCAGAGGTTCTTTAAGACGGTCAGCACTGGACTTGAACTGATTGCCAAACAAATAGAAGGGCAAAGTGAAAGAGTCACTACTTTGATCGGTAGGCACAGCAGCCGGCGTCTGTCCGACGCGTCGCCTCTGCCATCGTAGCAACGCCATGAGGACGCATGCGAAGAATAACAGAGACCAAATAAAAACCATGTCGAAGGTAATAGTGGCTTCAAGAGCAGAACTAACTCAGACTTGAAGCGTACCAAATAGAATAAGAATTATGGTCATCGCCACTTATTAGTTATTCATATCTTTCGAGCTCTCAGTCGCCCAGGGCAATTAATACATGCAAGTGAACTAGCGTGAACCGGCGGATGCTCACTGATATCCGCGCCTAACAGTGAAGGGGCAGAGTTCCAGCTGGGTGGGAATACTGCATCGATCAAATCCCTCTTGTTCATTTGTCTATGGGTGACCCCATTTGGTAGGTATGTCATCTTTGTGACGGGGGATCCTAGCGGACATATCGCGGGGTTGCAAGCACGCACCCCGCAAGTCCCGCATTTCAGCAGACAAAGATAAGCGCGCCTTATTTATTGTTCAGATCCGTGACAGCGAATTGTCATTATTGGTGACGCATACCAAGTTGGAGATAAGCGCGCCTTAGCCAGGATCCGACCAGTACGGACAATTTGAGTTACAACCTCAAGATAAGCGCGCCTTAAGGAGTCATGTCAGCATCAAGCTGAAGTGGGCTTTGCAAGCTAGTAGGGCTTAGATTCTGCCGGTTCTGATAGCAGTAAGCCATTGAACACCAGTGATCTAATAGTGTAGGAGTTCGTCGCCTCATCCGTCGCAGTATATCAGATCGATGCTGTCCCCAGAATTGGATGAACTAAAGACTCAGCCGTCCAAGATCACATTATACCCGCAAAACTTCAACCTGATTCGTAACTCTCAACATTATGGATGACGAAAAGAAGGGAGAAAACGCTCCGAACCTTCATGACTCTAGCTCTGTGAGCTTCCTCATCTAGCTCTTCGTGCAGCATACGAAAGCTGACCGATGGTGATAGTCGCTGAACGACCGAGGCCAGATTTCTGCCATTCAGCTTTCCGAATATGGAGTTCATAGAGGGTTGCAGTCGCATCACATCCAATTACTGGCAATTTCTGGGGTCATTGGAACAGGTGAGTTGACATAAGAATTCAACCAACTAGGGCACAGATGTCACGGTCAAAAAATGAATCCGCGCAATGACTGACAATCCAAGGTCTTTTCGTTGGCACATCGGGCGTGCTTAGCAGTGCTGGACCCGCTGGCCTTCTTATCGGATACTCCATTTGGTGAGAAAATCGCATAGCATAAGCCCTTCACCCATGGCCTGACTGCTGATAGGTGCATTTTTCTTCTTTGCGTTGCTCACACCATGGGAGAAATGTCGGCATTTTTACCTGTCCCAGGCTCATTCGTCACACGTAAGTGATATGCTGTTATCCACACTGACCCTACAGAATAACTCAACATCTTACACATTGGACGATTCATTGATGAGAGTGCCGGTGTGGCCATGGGATGGGTGTACGCGTACAGGTAATGGTTCCGTTGTGAGGTCGCATTCAGCATGCTAACTCTACCCGAATTCAGCATGTGGGTAATCTAAGCACACCAAGCAGAACTTGATAACGTGACCTTAACATGACTTCTTTTCTCAGGATGTAAGTTCTGGACTGAGTAAACGCGGGGATCTTTGAGCTGATAATTTTCCCCGCAGGATTTTCACCGCCGCCGATTGCACTGCCTTGGCTGGCCTTTGGTCTTACTGGTTCCCGGATATCAACCCCGGCGTCTAGGTAGCCTGCACATTAGGAGTTGTTTTCGTTCTCAACTGCCTTGCGGTCAAGTACTTTGGTGAGGTAGAGTTCTATGCTTCAATCTTCAAGATCTTCCTGATCTTTGGTTTTTTGCTGTTCACCTTCGTCGTTGTCCTCGGCGGCAATCCCAAACACGACCGCATCGGCTTCAGATACTGGAGAGACCCTGGGGCTTTCAACGAGACATACACAAAGGGAACCACAGGCCGATTCTTATCCATCTGGGGGATCTTCAACACGGCGGCCTTTGCCATCGGCGGCCCTGACTTCATTGCCAACTGCGCATCGGAGGCCGTCAACCCGCGCCGCAATATCCCCAAAGCTGTCAGGCGCGTTATCTATCGGTTGATCTTCTTCTTTGTTCTCTCAGTCTTCGTAGTTGGGCTGCTGGTACCGTACAATGATCCCACCATGCGTAAGTTCTAACTCGACGATGTCTCCACAATGCTGACACTGATCTCAGTCACGGCCATCGCAAGTGGCAATGGAGTTGCCAAATCGCCTTTCATCATTGCAATGAACAGACTTGAAATGTCCTTCCTTCCTGATCTTTGCAATGCAGTTGTGTAAGAACAGTTTGCACCTTCGACGATAGCATCGCTAACGTCTTATTCCCAGCATCACATCTGCTTGGAGTTGTACAAACTGTCTCCTTTTCCAGGCTTCACGAACCGTATTTGGTCTCGCCAAACATGGAAGAGCACCCAAAATCTTTGCCAAAACAACAAAGACAGGAGTTCCCATTCCGGCATTGGTCCTGTCTACCGCCGTTGCTTCTCTTGCCTTCATGACTTGCAATACCGCTTCTGCTGTCGTTCTAAATTGGTTTATCAATCTGGGATCCACGGCTATCATGATTGCCTACATTCTTATGATGGTGAGCTTCGTATGCACTGGATTGATGCTTACTACGAAATGCTAATTCGTGCAGGTGGCAAACCTTCAGTTTCATAAAGGCCTCATGGCGCAGGGAATCGATGCCGCAAGTCTTCCTTTTAGAAGCAAGTTAACACGTGAGTACAATGTCCTGGATCTTTCAAATATGACACTGATAGTTTTCAAGCCTACTCCAACTACTTCGCTATCTTCTGGGTCGGCATTATTCTCCTCACGAATGGCTATGGCAAGTCGAGACCCGACGACCTCTAGGAGCGCATTGCTGATACGTCACTAGGAGTTTTCATCAAGGGCCATTGGAGTTTCTCTGGTTTTTTTACGGCATACTTTACGCTTGTGTTTTTTTGTATGCTTTCCACTCAGACTGGTCATGGACTCATGTTTCAGTCTTCGATATTTCAGTAGGAACAGAGACTGACGCTCTTAGTGATCATATACGTTGGTTGGAAAATAATAAAGCGCACGTCAATCGTCAGGCCCGAGGACATGGACTTCAGGACTGGACTAGCCGAAGTTGAAGCGCACGAGGCTGCTTTGGTTATCAAGCCCCCGGCGACGCGTTATGAGAGGTAAGCTTGTTCAAATCACAGGTATCCCGACCGCAGCTAACAGGCTAGATTTATGGATTGGTTATGGTGAGAGCGGATAGGGGATAGGATGTGCTGCACTCCATTAGGCCTGTACACCTGAGCACATAGCGCACTTGAATGCAACTTTGGACGTCGGTGTATGTATTCGTGCTAGGCATCGTTTTGTGCTGACTGCAACCTCGGAGAGTGGCATTTGCAACGAGATGAAGATCGTCGTTTTTCACCCAAGGTAGTGACAAGCAATGATCGTCGAATTGAATCGCCGACCATTCCGGCCAAGGTTATGGGAGAAAGGGGATTAGCACCGTCTTGGACTGCCCAGAGAAGTTCCGGTCAGTCTTATGTATCCCCTAGCAAGTTCGAATGCAAAAGCAGGGATACTAGGTGGCCCTGCTGCAGCGCAACGGGAATCGGAGATCCTTTCGCAAGCATCGAGTTTGGACCGCGTGCACTGTCTTCACAGCGTTTTGTCGGGGGTTTTAGAAGGGGGGGCTAGTCCGATCTTAATGGTCAACTATCATCATCCTTTAGGGCATCGAATGCGTTGTCTTGCCGCCTGAAGAAGTGTGCCTTGGGCCCTCTGAGAGTAGTCTGCTTCTGTCAGATTTACAATTTTGACGCAAGTCAATGACTCTCACCCAGCTGCAACCTCTTAGCTGCATCCACTGCGGCCGTGGGGCAGACGTCTCAATGGCACCTTCGGCAGGGCTATTTATGCGCCTGGCTGAGCAAACTGCAGACAGTGTGTTGGTTGGCAGTGACAATTGGCACACAGGCCCTACAGTGGCACGAAATCCCAGCCGCTTTCTCGGCTCTCATTCGCTCTGAAGCAGCGGTGATGTGTCTCTTGCAGGCATAACATCCGTCGGTGAACATGCCTATTCATTGGCCAGAGTTCGGGTGAGGGGTCGGCCCACCCTGCATTTAAATACATCCCGCGTTCCAGGACACCGTTTTGGCTCGCGTTGGAACCATCTCGCGCTGACCCAGCTTGTTGGTTCAGCCTCATACCACATGGACGACCTCAGCATGGAGGACGTCGACAACTTCTATGTCGCACATGCGGTGGAACATGCCACTTGGCCTAATAACGTGCCCGATCGCGAGGTCGTCATTGAGGCTGACGATCAGGTGATCTTTCATTCTTCTCGTTTACAATTGAGAAGCCTAACCTTTTGATAGGATAACGACTCAGCCATTGGAATTGTCAGTGCCTGCCTCCAATATTTGATGTGATCTTTCGCCATGTGTTCAATCTACCAGCGGAGCTGACTCCGATATCTTGTCCAGCAAACCCTTGCTTCGTCAAGAGGGAGTCTTGCAAGTTCTATCATGGACTATCGCGTTGAAAATGGTAGAACTTATCACAGATATAAGGATGGAAGTGAGTATTGTGAAGCAAGGGGAACCGTGCTTCGCCGGGAGATTTAGGCTGAATGAGAATTTCAGAATACAACATTCCCAATGATGAGAAGGAAATTGAGAGACTTGGTGAGTTCCTTTCAATAGTTCACATGGTTCACTTATTCTATCAGTGACATGTCTTCCATCATCTTCAGTCATCGAGACTCTGCTCTTATGACCCCTCTATCTGCCCTGACCACCCAATACCTGCACCGTCGCCTTCACCCACTCCAGTGAAGGCCTTTCAACAACCATGCCTTTTGAATCATACACATGTAGGCGGGAGCCAACGCGATCTTTCCCCATCAAGATTCACGTGTCTAATATGCGAGCCAGATTTGCAACATACTCTATTCCTACTCACTTTCAGCGACAAGCTCGGAATGGCCCCTCCCTGCGATAAGGGAGCTAGCGCTGGCCACGTACTCGATATCGGGACTGGGACTGGGATCTGGGCGATAGATTTTGGAGACGAGCACCCAGAAGCAGAGGTTTGTTGTGATCCTCGCAACCCTAATGTTATGCTTATGCGTTGCAGGTTCGTGGGATAGACCTTTCTCCGGTGCAGCCAGATTTGTATAGCCTTGCCCAGCCGCTTCTTATGACCAAATATTGATGCTGATATTCTAGCTTGCCACCAAACGTGCGGTTCGAGATAGCAGACTTTGAGGAGCCATGGCCTTTCGGTCGACATTTCGACTACATCCATAGTCGAATGATGAACTCATCTGTTGGTGACTGGAATGAGTATATTCGAAAATGCTACGAGTAGGTCAACTGTGTCTTCGATGCGACCATGCCTAATTTTGTCTCAAGCAATCTCAACCCTGGCGGGTGGCTGGAATTAGTCGAGGTTGATATTACCCCATTATCCGACGATGGCACTTTGCGACCAGAGCACTCAGTCTCGAGAACGGCACGATTACTACAGCAGGCGTCAACACTATACGGACGGCCATACCAGGACGTCAAGGAATTGAAATCAATCATGATGGAGGCTGGATTCACTGATGTCACCCTCCTGCATTTCAAGTGGCCTACGAATACATGGCCGAGAGAAATACGACATAAAGAACTAGGGGTCTGGCATAACGAAAACCTGGTCAGAGGATGGGAAGGAATATGTATGGCCCTGCTGACAAGAATGCTCGGCTGGACAAGGGAGAATGTCCTTGCTTTGATGGAAGAGAATCTGAAAGAGTTCTCTGACAGGAATATCCATGCGTATTTCTCAATGTAAGTGGACAAAGCCTGAAGAGCAGTTGCAACTGATGTCTTGCGAGCTAACGAGATTTTTTCAGTTGGTCTATTTACGGAAAACGGCCTGTACAAGCAGGAGGAGTTTCTTCGGGGAGCATTTGAGCGTTCAGATTTGACTTGCATTGGAAGGCATTTGCACACTGTGAAGGCGCGCTGTAGCTTGGGATCTGGCCATATTTACTTCATCAATTTTAAGAAGCGAAGACCTTGTGTCGCAGGGCAAGAACTCAGCCCAATGACTCAACAAGTCCTTTCATCGCCGTACGGTACGTACAAGCTGTGAAGGAGAAGTGCAGTCTGGACTTTACATCATACAGACATACTAGCTATTTTGGTAAAACTGAGGTAGATTATTGATTTGCCTCCATGCTCTGAGCTGCCGTCCGGACCCTGTCACCTCGGTTTGACGCGGTGTGGAGAGTGACATGCCCAGGTTGGAGACAGACCGGCGTGCCCCATTCCCGGCGGAAGCCGGATCTTGGCGGCACCTCCAGCCAATTCTTCATTCGAGTCAGGCCTCACACCATAATCCCTTTACCATTCTTCAGTAGAAGGGGAAATAGGAAGCTATGCCGGCACCTAGATCTAAGACCACGTGCTATCAATGTCGAGCTAGAAAGGTAAGCCTCCCAAACATGTACGTTTACTCGGTGACTAAATCGCCAGTCAGGTCAGATGCCAGGGCTGGCCGAATGGCTGTACAGCCTGCAAACGCCTCGGTTACCGGTGTTCCTTTGAAGCAACTTCCTTGACCTCAGACCCGACACCGACACAATTAGAGCGTCGACGCGGCGAGCCGGCTTGTAGTGAATGCCGCGCGCAGAAAATCAAGTGTTCAGGCGAAAGCCCAACTTGCGCTGGCTGTCGGCGGCGGGGTCGAGACTGTGAATATCCAGAAGCAAAACAACGCAGATCACAAACTCAAACCAAACAATCATTGGGAACGGTCGCCGTTCATGATGATTCCGAGAAAGCCGATGGTTCCAACGTTTCAGACTCCACAGTGTCTTCGAGTGCTGCAGAGTCAAGTCTTGTCAATCTCGAGCAACCTCGACGAAACTATCATTCGGACCCATGGGCTCAGGCCTTACGAACTACTGACACACAAATCCAACTAGTAGATGATTTCTTCAACCATCTTTATCCTCTTCCTTTGTGTTCTTTCTTGCATGAACGGTCAATAAGGCAATAATGTCAAGAGGGTAGCCTCGATGAAAGCCTGATTCTTTCCATATGCGCTATTTCCGCAACCCGTCTGCATCGCGCCGCTTTTCATCCAGAATCAACCTCGGTATGGGTTCGGAGGGCAGAGAACCTAGTATGGTCTCATTTGGAGCATCCCACAATATTCCGTACCCAAGCACTGCTTCTCATCTGTCAGTACCACATCAAGACTGGCGGGTTTCAAAAGGCCTTCATGCTTTCATCGATAGTTTCTAGAGCAGCAAGTGCTCTTCGATTGCAGTACGAGCGGACAGACATACACCCACTTGCCCAAGAGATTAGGCGTCGACTTATGTGGTGTTTGATACTTTTGGATGGGCACTTTTCGAACGGTCTGCCCGAATGCGAGCTTTGCCCATTTGAGAATGTTTATCTGAAACTCCCTTGCTCTGAAGAGGAACTTACATTGCTCCACAACCCTGAGACCAATGAGGACTCGCCCTGTTTGTCTCTGGGGAGCGATCCTGAGGGCGGGCTTCTCTCCACAATCATTCGAGCGGCTACTATAAGGAGAGATATTTCAAGATTGAAGCGGCAGATGTGGCTCTCTGGAACACCGCTACCGCAACTTGAGGCTCTCGCAAAGTCATTCTCACATGGTCTCCAGGCGCTGAAGGTCAAACCATACTGTAAGGCGACTCTACGGAAGCACTCGACGTCTCGTTGGCTCTTGAGGTATGTAGTATCGCACTTGTCATCGCACCAAGGACATTGCGATTTGCATCGCCTTTTTCTCTCCGGTTACTCCGAGGCTGCGTCAGACATTGTTCTTAGCGCAGTCTCTCACGAATTTATGGCAACGGCTCCGACAGAATGCTTTCAGCGTGCCACAACTATCCTTGAGATTCTCCACGACTTCAACGAATTAAGACTTGATATTAGAGTACCCGATGTTGACATCGCCATTTGCAGCTATCATGCAATCGGATACTCCTTTTCCTCGGCAAATCCAATCTCAACCCATATAACTCGGGTCTCGATCCGGATACAGCTCTTAACAAGGCCAAATCAACATTCAATGTCATACATAGTCTATGCAAAGGCTCAGCAATAGCACGTTTCATTCTTGACGACCTCGGATGTGCTATCGCGTCATATCAGCCATCAACACCTGGGAATGATCATATTCCTCCGCTGGATACTGGGAAGACAAGTCCACATCGACCGAAATTCGCAATCATGGCGAAGAAACACCAGAACCTGGCCGTTCACAGCATATTGAGACAAGCGCGATTTGTTGACGACAGTTCGGCTGCAGTAAGCTTTTCGAATGAAGCAGCGAAACAAACACAGCATGCAATGGCCCATAGGTCTCGCAGCGTCGAGGTTCCAGTAGGTAACACCACACCAAGCCGAAGTTTAAGCTTGGTGGAAGCATCTACCGCAGATTTGATGTCAGGTGCGACTGAGTGGAATGAGGACGCGCCAATGGTCGAAAACCTAGTTGAAGCCTCCGATACAAGATTTTGGGGCGACTGGAACGAAACTTGGGGTCTCGATGAGTGGCCGATGGAAGCAGACGAGCACTACTTCTGATGAGATCCGGGCTATTCTAATCTTTCAGTTTCACACGATCGAAAGTTATTTCTGATGGTATCTGCTGCCTTTGTTGACTGTTTTGTCTGTTTTGTCTATATTATAATATCTGTGGATCTGGAATGTTTTGTTTCTATTGTGTTTGCCATTCTTTTGTCTTTATTCGGCCGATACCTAATTTGCAAAAGGGCTCTGCCGATGTATTCATTGCTGCCATGGTGGAGGGTGAAACTCTTACTCGAGTGATTCAATCAAGTACCGGCATCCAGTCTAGAAGCCGTTTTGCGTGCACACAGTTGTAAAGAATGTAGCGAACGAGGTCACTTAAGCCAAGTACTTGACTGCCTCCTGCCGCTTGAATGATATTTATAGCTCCGAGTACGTGGTTTGAAGCCATTGATATGTCCTGAATCATAATCTAGGGTGACAGTCAGCGCAGCCATTGCGTTGAAAGTCATCACATAACATACATCGTCGAATGCTAAAACCAGGGCTCTTGTGACGGCTTCGCGTCTCGACGAAGGACCATCTAACAAGATCGTGCGCCGAAGGTCTTGGATGTATCTGAGTTTGTATTGAGTGGCGATTTCGGCGTACTCTTTTTCTGACTTTATGGTAGAAAGGTGACGGCAGGCCGCAAGTAAGAAACCTTTGAGAAAGTCTGTGTCTGCAGAGCTTAGAAGCACCCAATTATTTCGTACATGGTCGTTGTGCTTGCCCATGTAATTCAATACTGGGCATTGACTAAGCATTTCGGGCACGACAACTTGAACATCTAGGTGTGTGGTCAGCTCACTTGTGCACGTTGCAACTGACCTATCACCGACGACACATAATGATACTGAAATAAGTGCAACTCACAATGCTGAAACATGTAATGCTCTCTTGGTGTGAGTGACCCAAGAAAGCTCGCCAAGGGCTCGTGCTCGAATGCCCCAGAAATATTTGGCGGAAGCACCAGAGTTATTTCGTCACGTACGAATGATTCCAAGTTTTTCCAATTGCTTGACATGCGCTCCTCTGAATCGGCAACCTCGCTGTCACCTTCTGCGACCCCCAATATTTCTCTACGTTGCGTGTGCTCCACCATGCGACGCCTTCTTGCCCGAGCGTGAGCAACACGAGCAGCATGGGAATGAGCCTGCCGTCTCAGGTTGGCCGAGTCTTTTTGGGCCGGGTGAACCATAGTAATGAACTTCATTTTTACGAGTAACCTAGAATCAGGCCGAGGAAGATGAAGAGAAATTGTAGTGACTTAGATGAAGCGAGCTCAGGCAATGTGCGCTCTTGAACGTCAGTTCCGGGTCAGATTATCATTGGCATGAAAGAATCCACATTTGTCAGCACCAAACTCTCTGAAAAACTGCCCTGAAGTTCGCCAAGAGTTGCTCCTACTACATTGGGACTAGCTTCTCGCAGTTCTCCGCATAAAGCAAGATGCCCCCCTAGAAATGGTACGGAATTTCGTCGTCGATCTCCTCATACACCGCTTCGACAGCAGCCACCACATCGTGCGGCAATGGTCCTTGTTCAATCATGTCAATGTTGGATTCCAACTGATGCACGCTCGAGGCACCAATAATCATCGAGTCTCCGTGGGTGCTGCTAAGAACGCTGTGATGTGCAGTCCAGCGAAGCGCAACGGCGTGACCCGGGATGCCGTGCCGAGATGCGGTCTCAAGTGCCTTTTCGGTGGCGGTCATGATGGATGGTCATAAGTAGAGATTTGCATACACCTCGCCAGAGGAGATCTTGTGATGAAAGGATCTACAGTCAGCACACCGAGCGAGACAAGCTGCACTAGCTGTGGGAGGAGTATGCTCACCGATCTGTCCCATCGCCCACCAGCCTTGGCGTTTTGATGGTTGCCAGCAAACAAGCCTCCGGCAGCGGGACTGTACGCGTAAAAAGCTATCCCATTCTTCCGTAGAATAGGGAAAAGATCTTTTTCGCCACTTCGCACAACTGCATTATACTGACCCTGGTAAACACTGGGTTTCACATAGCCATGTTCCTCGCAAATGTCGACAAACCGTTGGACTTCTTCTGCTGTGTAATTCGAAATCCCCCAACGCTTGATTTTTCCTTCGTTGCATGCCTGAGTCATAGCTTTACATGGTTCCTCGAACGGAGTATCCCGGTCAGGAACATGCAGGTATTCGATGTTGATTTGCGGGATCCGCAATGTCTCGAGCGAGAGGTTGATCTCGGACAAGACTTCGTGCTTAGCATGGGTTGCTGGCTTCCAAGACATGACTTTGGTGTCGATGACAAATCGTTCACCCGCTGAAACAGCTGCAAGCCTAGGCTCGCAGCTTCCCGGTGCATGAGGTGAATACATACGCGAAGTATCGATTTGGTTATACCCACGCCTTGCGAAGACGTCTAGGAAAGACCTGACCTCGTCAGGTGTGTCAAACCGTGCCATGGCGTCGATAGACTTGTCCCCGATCTGCACATAGTCATGGTCAGACATACTCCAGCAATGGCGTTGGTAGAACTTACATTGGCGGCGCCTAGAACCAGATTGATGACAGATTTCCGGCTGTGTGACATATTTGCTTTGTGTAATTTATAGAAGTATCAAAGGTAGCGGTTGTTGTTTGAGTTTGAAAATGAATCTTCAAACCTCGAGGACTTGTGACTTTTACGCCCTTATATACATCGATCATGTTCATCGATCAGTCACTGCAGAAGCATCAATCTTAACCGTGGGAATATGCTCCTACCTGATCAAGCAAGTGCAATAGTTGATGCTCGGATTTCGTATTATTAATTGAGATGGTAACGCGGACAGCCTTGATGCTCCGGCACATAACCCATGCTCCTACTCCTTTAGGCAATTGCAACGCGGAGCTTGCCAACTAGCCTCCAAAACCCGGCGCTCTCAGTGGACGCCAATGAGCAACTTTGATCCAGCCAACTTGGTATGTATCGGTTCGTCCCCAATCTCAGCCATCTTCTCGTTAAGAAGCTTTGTCATCTTCTTCACTATGCCTAGGTATTTGGGGTCATTGTAGCAGTTGAAGAGCTCGAGCGGATCCTCTTGGCAATCGAAGAGCTCCCACTCCTTTTCTTCCCCACCTGAACGCGCACCCTCCATTCCCAAATCTTCGTTGTACCAGTATATCAGCTTATATCGCTGATCGCGCACACTATAATGCGCATAGGCTTCGTGGATTACATCTCGATCCATCCAATACCTGTGGTATGCCACTTGCTGCCAAGACGGCTCGACTCGATCTTCTCCGAGGAGGAGAGGTCGAATGGATCGCCCTTGCATGTAGCTCGGGATCCGGACACCGGCAAAGTCGAGGAAGGTCGGTGCAAAGTCCACGTTACAAATAATATCATTGCACACAGACTGCGGCTTAATGGCCTTGGGGTATCGGATCATGAACGGCATCTGGAAGCTTTCCTCGTACATGAACCTTTTGTCGAACCAACCGTGTTCACCTAGGAAGAAGCCCTGGTCAGACGTGTAAATAACTATAGTGTTTTCTGCAAGGCCCTCTGACTCCAGCCATTCGAGCATTCTGCCGACGTTGTCATCGATGCTTTGTATCGTTCGCAAATATCGTTGCATATATCTCTGGAACTTGAACTCTGCGAGCTACTCCTTAGTCTTGAAAGTGAAGACTGTGCCGTCATCTTTGCAGACTAGCTTGAGGTTTGTGACATCCTCAGGGGCAGGAATCTTGCGATCGTTCCACCACCAAATGTCGATCATTTTTTGGCCAACTTCACTACTGTGCCCCTCAGGCTGGACAATCCCAAGGTCTCCATAGGTGAGGTCCTCGGCGACACAAATCTTGGCGACTTTGGCTGCATTTGCCCGGTTTTTATAATCGTCCGTAAAGGTGTCAGGTAGTCGTACCGGGTCTTTGTAGAGATGCTTGTGCTTGTTGTCGCACTCCCAACTGCGGTGGGGAGCCTTGTGATGGCACATGAGGAAGAAAGGGCGCTGTTTGTCACGATTCGACATCCAATCAATGCATTTGTCGGTGATGACGTCTGTTGCGTAGCCTGGTACCCGATTCATGGTGGACTTGCCGCCATTAGGACCAGGTTCGATGAACTGAGGGTCCCAGTACTCGCCCTGTCCTGGGACGATGCTCCAGTAATCGAAGCCGGTCGGTTCACAGTCAGCACCCTCTCCAAGAAGACCAGCTGAACACGTAGTAGGAGGTTTGCTTGGTGTGAAGGATAACATCTACCGGCGTGATATTGATGCAAATTCACTTGCTTATAAGAGCTGTAAACTCCCCACATCTTGGACTGGACTGTCATCACGGATATCCCGACCTCTTTCTTTGCGTACTGAATTTCACGCCTGCATACCGCGAGCAACATCATGAAAGGCCAGTTCTCTACGACTCATGTCGAAGACTCTACCGATAAAGATGGCATTCATGAACTAGGTTCAGCTTCTCAAGGGTTAGAAACTTTGACTTTGAGACAGACATTCCGCTATTACTGGAAGGCTGTCGCATGGTCTCTCTGCGTGTCCAATGCAACCATCATGGAGTCATATGACCTTCTACTGATCAACTCGTTCTACGCTTTTCCGCAATTTCAAAAGAAGTATGGCGTGGAACTACCAAACGGAAGCTATTCTGTGCCGGCGCGCTGGCAAATTGGTCTGTCAATGGCCAACTTGGTCGGCATGATCATCGGAGTATTTGCCAACGGCTACTGCGCAGATCGATGGGGCTTGCGAAAAGTCATGACGGCTTCGCATGCTGCCTTGATCGGCTTCATTTTCATTACATTCTTCGCGCCATCTGTTGAGGTTCTCACAGTTGGAAAGCTCCTGTTGTAAGTCTCATTAAAGGCAACTCTTGGGCAAGAAACTCCAGCTGACTTAGTTTTGTCGATGACAGATCTCTGCCTTGTGGTTTCTTTGCCGCCGCGACCCCTTCTTACGCCGCTGAAGTTAGCCCTCCTCAGCTCAGCGGCTACCTCACGGTCAATGTCAATCTCTGTTGGGTTATGGGAAAGATACTGGCCTTTGGCGTCTTGTCCGGCACTCTCAGCATAGAGGGTGAATGGTCCTACAGGATACCTTTCGCGCTCCAGTGGGTATGGCCACTGCCCTTGATGATAGCCACATACCTAGCTCCAGAAAGTCCTTGGTGGCTTGCAAGAAAGGGGCGAATTGAGGAGGCTGAAAACAGCCTCCGCAGGTTAGTATCTGCGCCCATTACAGTCATCGACCCCAAAGATTCTCTTGCCACAATTGTCCGTACCATTGAGGCAGAACGCCTGATGAGCATCCAAGGGTCATATTTGGACTGCTTCAGAGGTGACAGCCTGCGCCGGACAGAAATTGCAATGGTCACCTGGGGCTGCCAAATCCTGCCCGGATTCGCCATCCAAAACTATATCACCTACTTCTTTACCCTTGCTGGCCTCGACTCGTCGGACTCCTTCAATCTGTCGATAGGTGAGTGCGGTTTTGGCTCACATGTAATCACGCTGACCAGGGATACCTTTCAGGCAATGCTGGCCTTGCGTTCGTAGGAACGGTGTCGTCGTGGGCTTTGATGACAAAATTCGATTGGCGTACGATGTACCTTGGTGGGCTAATTGCCATGTTCCCGGTCATGTCTCTCGACGGTTTCCTTGACTTGGCAACAAGCACGCCTTCCGGAGACAACGTGAGATGGGCCCAGTGCGCCATGCTTTTGGTCTGGTTCTTCATTTACGGTAAGTACTCTACGCATCATCGCCCGGTAAGCCCAAGCTGATGTGCCGACCAGGTGCAAGCATTGGACCCGTACCTTACGGCATCGCTGCCAATGTTGGTGCAACCAATATCAGAGTCAAGACAACCTCGCTTGGGAGGAACACCTATTACTTTCTTTCAATTATCAACACCATCGCATCTCCGTACTTATTGAACCCACAAGAGGGTAATTTGAAGGGAAAGGCAGCCTTCCCCGCAGTGGCGTTCACGTTGCTGTTAATTGTCTGGGCTTTCTTCCGGTTACCAGAGATTAAGGACATGTCGCCCGAAGTTCTCAATCAGCTATTCGAGCAGAAAGTCCCTGCGAGGAAGTTTTTGCAAGAATCAAGGAAGTATCAATGAGAAATTGGGAGAGGGGGGGGGTTGCTCTGACCAGCAAGTTTAACTGGAGTCTCTGAGGGTTATCATCTGACAAGGTCTGATGCTACATGTATGTAGAGCAAGATCTCTCCAAGTACAATCAATGTAGAACCATGTTTTCGCAGCACTCTTCAGACGATGATGGGTAGGTAGGTATTTGAGGCTATGTAGTTTAAACATTCGAAGTAAGCTCCCTAGGATGACAGAGCGTGAAGACACGTGGAATCCTTGATTCTGCACTTGAGACACCAAAAGGCAAGCACAGCCACTCCACTCTCACAATATCTTCACCATCGTTCGGCTTCCTCCAAGGTGTGTGCGCCCCCCATAGCGTAGTATATCATATCCGACATAGGGCGCCAACGTTTTGATTTCGGCGGCGTTGTGAAGTGTTTCGGAGGCCAAACATAATGGTCGACATGGTTGTATGCGTCGACCTCAACTTCCATGGGGTCATCGTTGTCTTCCTCTCTGATCTCGTGTGCGTCAGGGTCATAGATACGTGCTCTTATGCGGAACAAGCTTTGGCCTGGTTCTTCCAACCCCCATTTGCGAATGTGTGTCCAACTTTTGCTGCCAAAATCTTTCTGAATTTCGCTTTGACGAATGTCACTTCCACTAAGTGGGAGGCTTTCTCTGTGATTCTCTTCTCGTTCCCTCTTGACAGTCACCATGATTTCTTTCCTCTTCTCCTCCCCTTTCATAAACTCTCCCTGAACACCAAAATTGCCCGGCGAGCGCGCATCCTGGGAGATTGGAACACGCGTGCTCGTATCAAGGACAGTGCATGCTTTCCCGGAAATAGTAGAGCGGTAGATTTTGATAGTAGCGCCAACGTCGAGATCGTCCAACAACTTTTGCCACGTGTACGGCTGAGGCCATCGCAGGTATCTATCCAAAATTGACTCGTCATGGAATATACGGCCGAATGGCACAGCTTCGTCCATATGGGCTACCAGATCCAGGCGACTCGCTGGTTCCCTGACCATCGCACCGAACGGTCCGTAACCTAGCAGTGCTGAGCTATGGCTGATATATCGAAGCTCCTTCCATCCATGGCTAACACCAATCAGACCCGTGAGAGTGCTGTAACTGATTGGGGGAGATCGAGTACCAAGAACAGTGAGTGTTTCCAGACATAGACCCGGGAGAAGCTTGAGAACAGAAGCTAGCTGATAGAAAACGCAGAGGTCGCTGCGTCTTGGGTAGTCAACTGCCAGCTGGAGAGGATCGCCCACAGCACGAAGGTGTCTGATTTTCGGTATGGTTCCAGGAGGTGCCGACAGCAGCATGTCGAGCATCGTCTCAGGATCCTCGAAATGGAAGAGTACATGGCCGATCCAGGTGTCTCCGATTGAGTTGTAAGCTGCTCGACAAGTTCGCAATATGGCGAGGGCATTTGGAGCTGGTTTGATCCTGATTCGTTTCAGTCTATCGACGTATCGCTTCCCATGACTGAGCCTCGTAGAAGCGAAAAGGTGCGAGAAAATGTTGTTGCGTAGCTCTTGGGGTATGCCGTGGAAGAGCCAATCCTCTCCGCTCATGTCGTTTTTTGCTTGCTGATTGGGCATCCGTCGTGGTGGGTGGATGACAGCCATTTCGTGATCGGTTATCGACTCAAGAGATATTTTCATTGAGAGATACTAATGGATATATATCAAGCGATGTCAAGGGACTGCATGGTGCGCATGTGTCGTATTTGTCTTCAGCACGTCTCACATAGAGTAGACCTGGTGGTTTGTGCGTCGCCCCCCTATTCCTTTTTGTTTGACGACAATATGCACATCCGCAGAGATGCCACGGGATCCATGCATCGTGGCACAGCAACAGCCATTCCCTTCATTTGTATTGTCGATTACCTTTTTCTTTTTTTCCTTGACCTTGGTTCTTGGCCCCTGACGACGGCGACGACGACGACCGCACCTCCCCGTGGCTTCCGCAGCACACGATGGGCTAGTGTGCTCGGTTTCGCAACTTAAAACACATGCACTGGACAATCAACGATGAATGGCCCAGCCAAGAACGGCTAAAACTGGGTAAGCTTGATCATGGACACAACAGTAGATCTCTGTGGCCCCAGATGCTTTAACATCGTGATTTTCCCGGGCTATCTACCCAGTTGATCCAACAGGCTGGTCTCCGAAGAATGAACCGACCTGGAGAAATGCCTGTCGCAGACTGAGACACGAAGATGACAGGTTGATGCGTCAAGTCTCGGCGTAGTTTGTGAATCCCCAACCAAGATCATACTGACAGTTTCGGAGAAGTTGAACTTGAGAAACCATTGATTTCATAGGCTTACCTGTGTTCCGATTCAAGGCCTTCGCTTCCCCCCCTTGGAAGCATCTCGATGTCATTGCCGCCTTGCCGTTTCCAGTGCCGATGTTTTAAGAGCCCGTCCCTAAGGCCCGTGAAGAGCGGCGACGGCATGCCCCCATTCTGTTGACGGCGAAGATGCTTTGAATGAATGACATTGGAAACGCTTGACCACAGGTACCATGCCAAGAAGGTGAGGCCCATCAGAGACAATGACAACAAGACATACTCCCAGATGCGATGGGCTCGGTCTTCACCAGTTATCTCATAGATATGCATACCGTAGATACTCTTAGTTGATGACTTTGATCAGCAGGAGGTAGCTTGGAACTCTACACAGATATAGGCTTACCGCAGCGACTTGCAAAGGCAAGTAGAAGAAAGTCAGCAACGCTACACGTCGGATGCTAGCTGCGAGGCTATTCGCCGCCTTGGTCTCCTGAATAGCTACAGCCGTGTCCGTGAACGAAGCAAGCTGGAAGATCTTCACAGTTCCGCAGATCAGCCCTTTTGTCTTGATATTTCAGTAGCTCATCATTCTCTTACTAAATTGACTAGGACTTTAGTGGTTGCATCAAGATCGTCAATCCTCTTCTCTTGAGCATTAAAATCATACTCTATTCTTCTCAGAGAGTTTCTAAGAGGCTCGAACTCTGGCGCTTGCGAGACAATGTCGTTGTGGCGCATGTAGTCCACAACTCGGGCTGCTTTTTCAACGCGGCTGCGGGCGCCTGCCCAGAGCCTAGAGAATTTGTGAAGGGAAACTGAGAGTTCTTTTTGGCGCTCAT